AAATTGAAATTCAAAAATTCCTTGAATCAAATGAGAATGAAAACACAACATACCAAAATCTTTGGGACACAGCAAAAGCAGTGATCAGAGGCCAATTTAAAACAACTGCCTCTTGGTCTATGCACAGGTTGCACATAGCATAAATAAGTGTTCTGGAATTCTTATTCTTTGTAATGTTATCCATAATTTGTTATGATCCACACAGCTGAATGCCTTTGCATAGTCAATAAAATACAAATAAACATCTTTCTGATATTCTCTGCTTTCAGCCAAGATTCATCTGACATCAGCAATGACATCCCTTGTTCCATGCCCTCTTCTGAATCTGGCTTGAATTTCTGGCAGTTCCCTTTTTATGTACTGTTGCAACAATTTCTTAATTACCTTCAGCAAAATTTTACTTTTTATAGATCAATGAATGAATTTCTGCCTTCAGTTTCATCTCCTTTCTTTGGAATGGGCACAAATATAGATCTTTTCCAACTGGTTGAACAGGTAGCTGTCTTCCACATTTCTTGGCACAGATGAGTGAGTGCTTCCAGTGCTGCATCTGTTTGTTGAAACATCTCATTTGGTATTCCATCAATTCCTGGAACCTTGGTTTTTGCTAATGCCTTCAGTGCAGCTGGGACTTCTTCCTTCAATACCAAGAATGGAGCATCAAGAATGGAGAATACTAATTAACAACCTGCAATATGTGGATGACACAATTATGCATGCTGAAAGTAAAGAAGACTTGAAGCACTTACTGAGGAAGATCACAGATGACAGCCTTCAGTATGGAATACACCTCAACAGAAAGAAAATAAAAATTCTCAGAATTGGACCAATAAGCAACATTAGGATAAATGGAATAAAGATTGAAGTTGTCACGGATTTGATTTTCTATGGATCCACAATTAAGATCCATGGAAGCAGAAATCAAAACATCAAATGACACATTCTTCTGGGCAAATCTGCTTCAAAGGACCTCTTTAAAGTATTAAAAAGCAAAGATGTGACTTTGAGGACTAAAGTATGCCATGGTATTTTCAATGCCTCACATGCATGAGAAAGCTGGACAATGAATAAGAAAGACTGAAGAAGAATGGATGCCTTTGAAATATAGTGTCGATGAAGAATATTGAATATGCCATGGGTTGCCAAAATAATGAACACATCTATCTTGGAAGAGGTACAGCCAGAATGCTCCTTAGAAGCATTGGACATTTTATCTGGAGGGACCAGTCTCTGCAGAAGGACATCATGCTTGGTAAAGTAGAGGGTAAGTGAAAAAGAGGAAGACCTTCAACCAGATGGACTGACACAGTGGCTGCAACAATGGACTCAAACATAGCAATGATTGTGAGGATGCTGCAGGATTGGGTAATGTTGCTGTCTTAGACTAGATTCTCTAGAGGAGCAAAACTAATGAAGCTTATATATGTATATATATTCACACAGAAAGAGATTTATCTTAAAGAAACGGCTCATGAGGTTGTAAAGGCTGGCAAGTCTCAAGTTTGTATTGAAACATCAAGCTGGAGGCTTCTCTTGACTTGCATAACTGCAGGGGTTGATAAACCCAAGATTGGTAAGCTGCTGGCTCATGGGCTGGGTAGGCTGATGAGTTCAAGATCAGCAGGTAAGATGGCTGGCTGCTGGCTCATAAACTGTGTAGGCTAATGAATCCTAAGATCAGCAGGCAATATAGCAGGCCACTGGCTCAAGTCCAAAGAACCATAGATCAGATGGTGACAAACAGGATGCAGAATCCAGATTGATCAAAAAGCCAGAGATCTCTGCCAGAAGGTCAATATATATTGAAAGCAGACCACACCCCTGAGGAAACTCCCTTTCAACTGATTGGCTGCTCATAGCAGATCTCATCATGGAGGAAATTACATTGTATTAGACCTCATCTTGGGGGATAACTACACCATAACTGCTCAACTGCTGAAAATCGTGAACCAGCCAAGTTGACACACAACCTTAACTATCTCAGTTGCTTCTGTTATCCATAGGGTTGCAATGAGTCAGAACAACAAAGAATTTGGTGCATGGATTGGACAGCACAGTGGGTACATCTGAAGAATGAATTAATAAACTGGAGAGGAAGGAGTCTCCCAGAAGACATCAGGAGTAGAAGAAGAACTGGAATGAACAACACAAGAGTAAAGAGACATGAAGGACGGAAGTAGACTATCACTGTAATAGGCACTTTAGAAGGCTGGAAAGGGATAAATAGAGGGAAGAAAAATATATGGAGAAATAATGTCTAAGACTTAAAAAAAACAAACCAAACTCAGTGCTGATGAGTTGGATCTGATTCATAGTGACTCCCCCTTGAGTTTCCAAGGTGGTATCACTACAGAAGTAGATTGCCCAACCTTCCTTCCGAGGAGTGGCTGGTGGGTTTGAACCACCAGCCTTCTAGTTAGTGGTCAAATACCTTAGGCACTATGCCACCAGAGCTCTTACCCAGGACTAAATACTTTAAATACTTTAAATACTGTCTCTGTTGTTAGCTTCCCCTGACTCATGGTGACCTCATGCACACTGGAATAAAACACTGCTCAGACCTGTGTCATTCCCAAGAACAGGTTAGGGATCCAACCATTGTGATACATAGCATTTTCATTGGCTGCCTTTTAGAAACTGATTATCAGGCCTTTCTTCCTAGTCCATCTTAGTATGGAAACTCTGCTAAAACCTGTTTAGCATCATAACAACCCACAAGCCTCTACTGACAGATGGGTGATGGCTGCATTGAGGTTCATTGACCAGGAATCCAACCAGGGTCCCCTACATGGAAGGTATGAATTCTACCACTGGACCACTAATATCTCAAACTTTCAATATTAAAGAAAGACATTAAGACTCCAGGCAGGGAAAGCTTCCAGAGTGCCACACCATACCTATTACAGTGATATTTAAGAATAACAGAGATCAAGAGAAATTCTAAAAGCTCCCAAAGAGAAAAAATAGACCCTTACAAAGGAGATGGAACCAGAAATCAGATTTGTCAGTAACAGCAGAGTGATAATTTCAAATTGTTGAACATAGAATTTTATCCAGGAAAATCATGATTTACTTGTGAACATGAAATAAAAAATAATCTCAAGTACATAAGATCTCAGAAAGCTAACTTCCCACAGATTTGTTTGAAAGAATGCTTTGAGGATGTACTCCTTTAGGAAGAAAAATGAATTCAGTGAAAAGCAAGACTGAGTAAAGAATCTGGTACATTTTGTAGTCTAAATAAGCAAGACAAAAAGCTATAAATTGAACTCAGCTCTTGAATTGACATACCATAGCTCTCTACCTCTCTCGTCCCTCTTTCTCTTCCCCTCACCACAACCCCTCAAAACAGCATCATGATAGGTAGAGACAAGTATCGATTTGGATGAAGAGAAGGGCAATGTACCAAATGTGAATGATCAACACAGTGGCATTGAGGAAAAGAAAGACAGAAAGGTGAATGGGAGGTACAGACAACAAAGCTGAACCCTTTTGCACATACAGTACTGTGTTGTTAGTGAAGGCAAACATTGATATATGAGTGGATAGATGGGTGGACTGGCTGAACTATTAGGTATGTCTATGCAGGTGGTAGTGTCCTATACCATGTATAGGGTTGACAGACAATGTTTCTACAAGTGTATTGGTATGTTCTCTAAGAATTCCCAGGTATATAGTAGAGCTGACAAGGGACAAGGTTGTAGTCACTTTTTGGCCACAGCCAGCTACCTAGAGGGAGCAAGTAATTGGACCTGTGGGCTTGGGATCATAGTTGCAGGGAACACCAAGCTCAATTGGCATATCATAGTACACGAAAACATTGTTCTACATCCTACTTTGGCGAGTAGTGACTGGGATCTTAAAAGCTTGCAAGCAGCCATCTAGATGCAACAATGGGTCTCTCCTCGTCCAGAGCAAAGAATAATGAAGAAAACCAAAGATGCATGGAAACAACTGGTACACCATGCAATCCTCAGCCTATACAACTATGAGACCAGAACTAGATGGTGCCTGGCTACCACTGTCAAACACCCGGAGGGGGATCTATGTAGGAGATCCTGGGTAGAGTGGGAGAACAATATGCAATAAAACTCAAAATCATTAAAAAAAAAAATCAAGTGGGGGGAGACCATATTTGCTGGTCTGATATGGCCTCCAGCTGCCCTTCAGGTCTGGAATAGAACACACTCCTGTGGCTTCCAGCCACATAAAAGACAGGCACATGAGCTGAACATTTACATTAGGTAGATACACTCCTTGGAGAGAGCAGTCATGGGAGACTAGAAGGGCTGTGTATGCACAGGGAGACAGTTCAGAGGCCAGGAGTGCATGGGAAGGAAGGACATGGAAGAGTAACTATGGGGAGGAAGTGAGAGTGGAGCTGGTGCATCATGGGAAATTGCAGTCAATGTCATGAGACAAAGTGTATGTGAGATGCTGTATGGAAAATTAATTTGCTCTGTGAACTTTCACTCAAATTACAATAATTTTTTTTTTTTTTTTTAAAGCATCATGAACAGAAATCTTTCTCTGGATTTCCTTTTTCTTTTCTATTCTTCCTCTTGTCTTCCCACTGATTGGGTGATCTTACTTGATAACTGGTGCAAGAGGCCCAAAAGTCTCCTCACGAGAGCAAAGCATGTCCCGGGTGATGTTGCTGAGCAGGGTGGGCTCAAAGAAATTTTTTCCAAATTGATGTCGCTTCCCGCCTGTCTCAATAGTGGCCCCTTTGGAAACAGCATCACTTACGTGTTTCTCTACCTGTTTGAATAGAAAATAAGAGACCTTGGGAAAGGTGGCTGAGAATACTTTAAATGGTTCAATCTCTGGTTGTTTAAACCTCAGAAAATAGTAACTAGTTTTCCTTCCTTTCTCTGAAAAGAAAAAGAAGATTATAACCAAAGCACCCTAGTTCTTTGCACAGTGGCATGAAGAGGCACATGGTGTGTGCAATGTCTTCTTCATCCTGCTCTTTAGTATTTTAGATATTTGATCTACTATTTGTTGAACATACTGAGTTCTTTCTAGCCTGCAGCTCTGCTGCCTTCCTGCGACTTGCTTTGCACTCTTGGGCTAGTTTCCTTGTTTCATTTTGTTCTAATACATTTTCCTCCAGCAACTGCTTTAGAAAGGTACACTGTAAGTGGCTTATTTTCTGAATTTTCTCACACTTTATATCTGATGCTTTATCATATGTTCCACCTGACTGATGATTATGGATTAAAAAAATTTTAAATTGTTTGACTGTGGTAAAAATATATGTACCTAAAAATTTGCAAATGCAACATTGTTTTGCATGTACAAGTCAGTGACCTTCACTGCATTCATCATGTAAAACCATCTCAACCCTCTCTTTCCAAATTATTCCACTACTATTAACAGAAACTCAGGGCCTCCTAAGCACAGACTCCCCACTGTTTCCTCCCCTCATTTCTTCATAACCACTAATATCTATGCATTTACTTAGTCTAGATATTTCATGTAAGTGGTGATCATACAATATTAGTCCTTTAGTGCCTGACTTATTTCACTCAGCATGTTTTCAAGGTTTATCCAAATTGTAGCATGTGTCAGAACTTCATTTCTCTTTATGGCCGAGTTGTATTCCATTGTATGTATATACCTTTATTCTATGTATCCATCCATCTACTGATGGACATTTAGGTTGTTTCTTGTTATGTAATTTTGATTCCAAATTAGTTCTTTCAGAACTTTTAGTACACTTATCCACTGTTGCTGATGAAAAGTCTGATTTAGATAGGATTCTCACTTCTCTGTGGGCAACTTTTTCCTCTTCTGAAAGCTTCTATGATCTTCTTTTATGTTTCTGACATTCTAAAATTTCAGCAAAATATATCTGGACAATTTCCTTTTCATTCATTCTGGTTGCAAACTAGCAAAAACTTTCCATCTGAAGAACTAAGTTATTTTTCCATAGCTTTGACAAGTTTTCATCGGTTGTTGTTTTTAGGTGCTGTCCAGTTCATTCCTACTCATCGCAACCCAACATATAACAGAATGAAACATCATCCAGTCCTGCACCATCCTCACAATTGTTGCTGTAGTTGAGCCCATTATTACAGCCACTCTGTCAATCCATCCCATTGAGGGTCTTCCTCTTTTTCACTGACTCTCTACTTCATCAAGCATGATGACCGACCTTCTCCAAGGACATCCTCCTAATAACATGTCCAAACTATGTGAGGGGAAGTCTTGGCATCCTTACTTTTAAGAAGCTTTCTGGCTTTACTTCTTCCAAGACAGATTTGTGGTTCTTCTGGCAATCCATGGTGTGTGTATTCAATATTCTTCACCAATACCACAATTCAAAAGCATCAGTTCTTTAGTATTCCTTACTCAATGTCCAGCTTCTCATGCATATGAGGTGATTGAAAATATCATGTCTTGGGTCAGGGCACCTTATTCCTCAAAGTGATATCTTTGCTTTTTAACTTTTTAAAGAGGTGCTTTTGTAGATTTGCCCAATGTGATAATGTGTTGCTTGATTTCTTGACTGCTGCTTCCATGGGTATTGACTGAGGATCCAAAGAAAATGAAATCCTTGACAACTTCAATCTTTTCTTCATTCATCATGATGCTGTTTTTGGTCTAGTCATGAGATTTTTTTTTTATGTTGGGGTGTAATCCATTCTGAAGGCTGTAGTCCTGAATCTTCATCAGTAAGTGCTTCAAATCCTTTTGCCTTTCAGCAAGCAGGGTGTGTCATCTGCATATCACAGGTTATTAATGAGTCTTCCTCTAATCCTGATATGGTGGTCTCCTACATATAGTCCCGCTTCTCAGATTATATGCTCAGCATACTGACTGAATAAGTATGGTAAAAGGATACAACCCTGACACACTCTTTCCTGATTTTAAACCACAGTATCCCCTTGTACTTTTCAAATGACTCCGTCTTTGTCTATGTATAGGTTCCATATAAGCACAATTGTTTTAGCATTCCCATTCTTTGCAATGTTATTCACAATTTGTTATGATCCACACAGTTGAATGTCCTTGCATAATCAATAAAACGAAGGTAAACATTTTTCTGGTATTCTCTGCTTTCAGCCAAGACCCATTTGACATCAGCAATGATATCCTTCATTCCACATCCTCTTCTGAATCTGGCTTGAATTTTGGGCAGTTTCTTGTGAATGTACTGCTGCAACTGTTTTTCAGTTATCTTTAGCAAGATTTGACTTGCTGAGTGATATATCAATGATATTTTGTTTGTAATTTCTGTATTTTGTCTGTAATTTCTGAATTCTGTTGGAATTTTGTCTGTAATTTCTGAATTCCGTTGGATCACCTTTCTTTGGAATTGGCACAATTGGTTGGCCAGGTTGCTGGCTTCCAAATTTCTTGGTATATAAGTGAACAGTTCCAGCATGGCATCAGTTTGTTGAAACATTTCAGTTGATAGTCCATAAATTTCTGGATTTTTATTGTGATTTGGGTGAAAGTTTACTGAGCAAATTCATTTTCCATACAGCAGTTCATATACAGTTCATATTTTATCTCATGACATTGACTGCAATTTTCTGGAGCCTTGTTTTTTACCAATGCCTTAGAGCTGCTTGGAGTTCTTCCTTCAGCACTATTGGTTTTTAATCATATGCTACTTCTGAAATGGTGAAACATCAACCAATTCTTTTTGGTACAGTGACTCAGTATATTCCTTTGATCTTCTTATTATGTTTCTGGTGTCATTCAATATTTTGCCCATAGAACTTGTCAATATGCAACACGAGGCTTGAATTTTTTTTCAGTTCTTTCGGCCTGAGAAATGCCAAGCATTTTCTTTCTTTTTGGTTTTCTAATTCCAGGTCTTTGCATACTCCATTATAATACTTTACTCTGTTTTCTTGAGCCACCATTGAAATCTTCTGTTCAGCTTTTTACTTCATCATTTCTTCCATTTGTTTTAGCTACTTTAAGTTCAAAAGCAAGTTTCAGTCTCTTCTTGACATTCATTTTAGTCTTTCTTTCCTGTTTTCTTAATGATCTTTTGCTTTCTCCATGTATGATATCCTTGATATCATGCCACAACTCATCTGGTCTTTGGCTATTAGTGTTCAATGTGTGAAATCCTTCCCCGAAATGGTCTCTAAATTCAAGTGTGATATACTCAAGTTTGTACTCTGGCTCTTTAGGACTTGTTTTAATTTTCTTCAGCTCCAACTTGAACTTGCATATTAGCAATTGATGGTCTGTTTTGCAGTTGGTACCTGGCTTTGTTCTGACAGGCCATATTGATCTCTCTACATCAATGTATGTAGTCAATTTGATTTCTGTGTATTCCCTCTAGTGACGTCCATGTGTACAACCATCATTTATGTTGTTGAAAAAAGGCATATCTAATGAATAGGTCATTGATATTATAACTTCTATTATGTGATTTCTAGCATCGTTTCTATCACCAAGGCCATATTTTCCAGCTACTGATATTTCTTTCTTTTCAATGATCACATTCCAATCATCAGTAATTATCAATGCATCTTGACTGCACATTCAGTGAATTTCAAACTGCAGAAGTTGGCAAAAATATTCAATTTCTTCATCTTTGGCATTAGTAGCTGGTGTGTAAATTTGAATAATAGTCATCCTTGTAGGAATATGGATATTATCCTATCACTGATAGAGTTGTATATCAGAAAAGATCTGGCCATTTTCTTTTTGACAATGCATACGATGTTGTTCCTCTTCAATTTGTCATTCCTGGCATAGTAGACCATAAAACTATCTGATTCAAAATGACCAATATCAGTATATTTTGTTGTTTGTTGTTGTTATGTGGCATCGAGTCGGACCCAACTCATAGTGACCCCTCCTTGGGTTTCCGAGGCAGTATCACTATGGAACTAGATTGCCCCATCTTCCTTCCAAGGAGTGGCTAGTGGGTTTGAACTGCCAGCCTTCTGGTTAGCAATCAAGTACCTTAGGCACTATGCTACCAGAGCACCAATCAGTTCATTAATATCTATAATATTGATCTTTATGTGTTCCGTTTCATTTTTGACAACTTCCAACTTTCCTAGATTCATACTTCATACATTCCACCTTCTGATTATTAATGGATGTTTGGATTTGTTTTTTTTCTCATTTTGTCTTAACACATCACAAATGAAGGCCCCCAAAACTTTGTTCCATCTACATCACTAAGGTCAACTCCTCTTTGAGGAGGCAGCTTTTCCCCAGGCTTATTTTGTGTATCTTTAGGAGCCCTGGAGATGCAAAGGTTAAAGTGCTCAGTGGCGAACTGCAAGGTTGGCAGCTCAAAACCCTAGTTGCTTTGTGGAAGAAAGAGGTGGCAGTCTGCTTCTGTAAAAATTTACAGTCTAGGGCAGTTCTACTCTGTCCTATAGGGTCACTATGAGTAGGCATTGATTTGACAGCAGTGGGTTTGTTTTTTGGTTTTCCAGTCTGAGGGGCTCATCATTCAGCACTATATCAGACAGTGTTCTGTTGCTATTCATAAGGTTTTTATTGGCCTTTTTTTTTTTTTTTTCAGAAGTAGATTTCCAGGTCCTCCTTCCCAGTCTGTCTTAGTCTGGAAATTCTGCTGAAACCTGTCCACCATAGGTGACCCTAGGAGGTCTGGTAGGATAGTGCCTAAGGCATTTGACTGCTAAACAGAAGGCTGGAGGTTCAAACGCACCAGCCACTCCTCAGAAGGAAGATTGGGCAATCTACTTCCATAGTAAGACCACCTCGGAAACCCAAGGAGGGGTCTCTATGAGTCAGATCCGACTCAATGGCAGTGAATTTGGTTTGGTTTTTGGTATAGGTTACTCTGCTGGCATGTGAAATACCAGTGACATAGTTTCCAACATCACAGCAACACACAAGCCACCACAGTATGACAAACTCACCAGTTTTCAACTACTATTTATTTAATAATTTTATTATCTCCATTTTCTTGATTCCTTCTCTCTAGAAATCCTGTTACTAAGATGGGGACCCCTTCTTTGCTTCAGATTAACCTTGATTTTTTTTTCCTGCATTTATGTCAATTTTTCATCTTTTTTTCACTTTAAATTCCAAATTTGTCTTTCATTTCATCTGTTAAAGTTTTTATTTTGACTATCATGTGTTGACTTCTATAAATTCTCAATCTCATTGCTTCATTTTCATAGAATTTTTATAGGTGTACTATCAAAACTGTTGGAGGACACTAATTAGATTATTCCTTTCTGTTTCATATTCATCTGTTTCCTTCAGGGTCAGATGTTCTCTCTGCTTTTCCCAATCCTTCTTCTTTTGTGCTCATGGTTGTCTTCAAAGCATTGGTAATGCTTGGTTATTCATCTTTATGAATGAAGAACTGTGTTGATTAATTTAGGTGGTTGGCAGGGGTAACATCTGCTGTTCCATTCTCTAAGAAAACAACCACAAGCTTGGGTGTATTCTGACTATCAGCAGGCTTCACTTTAGGGATAGCTCCTTCCTCAAACAGCAAAGTCAGTGGAGTCCTACTATGGTATAACTACTTTCACTCTCAAACCCATAGCTCTCATAGGCAGGCTATTATATTCCTTCAGTGGTATTTCCCCCGCCTGGAGTAAATGTCTCTGTTGTGTTTTGTGTGTGTGTGGTGGTGGTGGTGGTGGTGTGGAAATGACCCAGAAAACTAAGCAAAAGTTTAGTCAATCTGATCCATCTCTCCACTCCTTCCCTTTCTACTCTGTACTCCAGCCTATTCTAGAAAAGCTCCACATGAAAAATGGCACCCATCTCCCCTGCATTCTCCTGAGCATGTCCCCTCTGCTTAGATTTTTCTGGTAACCTGATCCCTCTGCCTTCCAGAAGTTCTTCACAATCTCTGGTCCACTGGAGTCTTCCTTTCTCCCATTCTCAGCTGAATTTTCCATGGAGTTTCAGAAGAGAGATAAAGATAGGCTTGGACACATTCTGCCATCCAAACTCAGCTTTTAAATCCATGTCCCCTACGATGCTCTCATAGTCCACTGCCTGCAACAAATACTCAGGATGGCTTAATTTCTATCATTTATGTTTTAAAAAACAATTGCATTTAGCATACTTAACTAGAGCCCATTCTCTTCCCCAAACAGGATCTGCCCGTTCTAGTTACCTTAATGTGACGTTGTGCAGTATTTCCCCCCTAGAATCCACTCTATGAGTGCATGAACACTAAAGTCAACACAGTGTGTTGTCAAACAAATTGCTTTCCACTAAACTTCTCTTCTCTTCTCAAAAAAAAAAAAAAAAAAATCCTGCGTTATGGTTGCTTGAACTCCCAGTACACAGTGTCCTCTAGAGAGCAATGTCTGCATATGCACTTTGGCTAAAAAAAAAATCTCTAAAGCAGCAGTTTCCCAACATGGCTGCAAATCAGCATCACCTGCGGTGCTTAAAAATAACAAACTTTGGCCCTACCCCAGACTAATTAACACCCTGCAGTTATAGGCATAAAAAAAAAAAAAAGAAAACTCACAGCTGTCTAGTCATTTTCCGACTCTTAGTGACACCTCTTTGGGTTTCTGAGGCGTATCTCTAAGGAAGTAGATTGCCCAGTCTTCCTTCTGTTGAGTGACGAATGGCTGGTGAGTTTGAACCTCCAGCCTTCTGGTTAGCAGTCAAATGCCTTAGGAACTACACCACTGGTGGGTTATGAACCACCACTCTGGAATTAAAACTATGGCTGGTACAGACCCAAACTGCCTTGAAGTGTGGGCCCCTTGTCTGTTCCCAGGGTCCAATGTCACTTCAAGAATGCCAGCGGTACTAGCATAAACTTTAAGATATTTATTTGATCTATATAACCCCATGGTAATAACTAGAAATTGATCAGTTCTGTCAAACTTGAGAGCTGCCCTTGGTTTCTACTGGATAAGAGATTCAGCTGCATTGCCTGTCCCCTGGGTAAGGGCAGCCATCCCCCGGGCTCTCTGTGGTAGTTAAAGTTGTATGTTAACTTGGTTGGGCCTGTATGAGTGGCTAGGCAGCTGGTGGTAGTTATTCCGCATGCTGAGATGGGCAATCAATTCCATGCTGGGATCTACCACTAGCAGCTGACTAGCTGCTTTAGGGATGTGGTCTGCTTCCCATATATAAGCAGCAGCTTTGGAAATGGTCTCTAGCCTGTGGCTCGCTTGAACCCTGCATGTAGCTGTGTTACTGCTCAGCAGCCTGCCATACTCTGCCAAGCTTGGGACTTTCAATGGACTTGAATTAATGGCCAGTCTTGTGGTTTGGTAACATCAGGACTGGGCCTTTTTACTTGTCAACCTTGGGCTTGTCAGTCTCAGCAGACAACAGCTGTCTGAGCAAAGAAAAGCCTCTAGCTTCAGTGGGCCAGGAGCAGGAGGCAGAGCTGAACCCCAAGTTTGAAGGGCTTTTACCCAGCCCCTAGAGGCTGGCACCTTGAACTCAGACTTAAAGCCTCCAAACTGTAAGAGAATAAACTCCTATTTGTTCAAGCATCCCATTTGTAGTATATTCCTGTCTGAGCGACACTAGCTAACCAAAACACTCCCCAAGGCCACCGAACAGGGGTCAGGCTGTGTTTCCCACTGCAGTGGTGGTTTGGCTGACCTCTTCTGCCTCTATTCCCACATGCAATCCCCAGCCTTCCTATTTTGCCTGATTTAAATCACTCTATTAAAATCCTTTCTATCCATAGAGACTTAACCAGGGAGCAGGCTGCATGTTTACTCTTACAAGAAAAGTCTTTGTATACACTACTTTTCAAAGGGAGAAATCCTACCTAGCTAGTAGTAGTCTAAATTGTGATATTTTTGAATAAGCAAATTCTTCCTGATCCTAAAAGCATATCTAAATCCTGAATATGGAATATGTGATGATACATCTCCCTGCTGGGATGCTTTTTCCAAGGATTCTTCTGGAAGGGTATGTTGCAGTCATGGGAGGATACAACAGACCCATACCAGTATTTCAGCTGAAATATCAACAATCTCAGAAACAAAGCCAGTTTTCCTGTCCTTTTAGGTGTTCCAAAAAAATTACATGACTTTGTGTAAAGAACTTTATGTTCTGAGATCTTAATCTCTGAGGTAGGGAGGGATAGAAGTCACAATGATCACCACTAGAGCAAGGAAGATGGGGGAGGGCAACAGAAGACCTAAAGTGACCAATCTCATGGGACAGTATACAATGACAAAAGCTGGAAAAGCTTATGACCTAGTGATGTCATTCAACTCATACAAAGCAATAGAAATTCACTTTTTCAGATCTCTCAATTGCTTTCAAAATCACCTTGTTGGCTATCTTACCAAAGTGATTTTTGTCAGTTAAGCATTTGATATCAAAACCATGAGATATACTCTAATGCATCATGTAAGTAACTTACCTTTTCTATGGCTTTTTCATTAATTAAAGGGCCTTGAGTAGTTCCCTCCTCAAATCCATTGCCTACACGCAGGTCTCTCTTAATTGCTTCGGCAAATTTTTTCACGAAGGAATCATGGATACCCCTTTGCACCAAGAAACGGTTTGAGCAAACACAGGTCTGGACGTGGGGGAAAAAATACAATTCACAAAGACAGCTTGTCAAACGCTAGTGTCCCAACTAATATATTTGTGATTGCTGCTCCCTCTCTAAGTGTGAAGACACTTCCCCATGTGGTTCTAATCATGTGTTCAACCTGCCATTTTCTTCCCCATGTGAGCCTGATCTGAAAGATATCTGCACCAGCAAGTGCACGTTTCTCTCCAGTGCCCTCCATGGTGGCTACACCTCTGTGCTTAAACAAGTATGCAAGTCTAAGAATCTGTGCAAGAAAAAAAAAAAGGCATTTAATCCGGCTTTTTGTTTTGTTTTGTTTTGTTTTTAATGGCTCACAAAAGGCATTACAGAACAAATAGAAGAGACTAAACTATAACCTCTGGGAGAAAGCGATATTGTGGCATTAAAGAGCAGAGGACAGAAGGACTGAAGTCAAAAACTGAGGTCATATATCCTTTAATTTAAGCCTTCTAAGTGTTTGGCTAGGAGCTCTGGTAGCATAGTGCCTAAGTCACTTGACTGCTAACCAGAAGGCTGGCAGTTCAAATCCACCAGCTACTCCTGGTGGATGGGGCAATCTACTTCTGTAGTGATACTGCCTTGGAAACCCAAGGAAAGGTTGCTATGAGTCAGGTCCGACTCAACGGCACATAACAACAACAACAATAAGTGTTTGGCTGGATTTGACATTTTGAAAATGGACACAAGACATGGAAGCATTTGAGATGAAATTATTCAAAATACCTTTGCTTATTTTTTTCTTATTAAAAACCAAAACCACACTCACTGTCACTGAATTGATTCTGACTCACAGTGACCCCAATTGAGTTTCCAAGGCTTAAATCTTTATGGAAGTAGATTGTCTCATCTTGCTCCTGAGGAGTAGCTGGTAGGTTTGAACCTCTGACTTTCTGGTTAGCAGGCAAATGTCTTACCCCACTACTCCACCATATTTTAAACTTAAAAAATAAAATCACATTATAGAAAGTATAGTTATCATTGATAAATTTTCTTCTTTTTTCTTATCATGTATTTTCTTAGTTGAAACAAGTACATATCCATAAAATTTTGTGTCCTATGCATTTTAAATTAATGGTCTTATTGGCTTAAAGAAGCATGCCCCAAACCTGGAGATTTAAGAGTATAACTCGGAAGGTATTTTATGTTTATAAAAGGACACACATTTACTTCTGAAAAAACCTACCCTTAGTTAGGTTGAAAGGAGGAAAATAAGTGACCAATGGCTAAAAATAAGGATGAAGTGATTTAAAATAGAATATGATACAGTATTTCACCATTTTTTCCCCAATGCAATCTTTCAGTAGTATTTATTGTTTTTAGCATGCATTTAGAAGTTCCAATCCACCCATTCAGAAAAAGGCCTGATAATCTACTTCCACAAGATTAAAACCCCAAAAATAATTACTGCTGTCAAGTTGATTCTGATTCATAGTGACCCAGAAGGACACAGGAGAACTGCTCCATAGGCTTTCAAGGCTGTAAACCATTTTGAAGTAGACTGTGACATCTTTCTCCTGTGGAGCAGCTAGATAGGTTCAAACTGCTGAGTTTTTTGGTCAGCAGACAAGTACTTTTACCCCTGCACCATTAGGGCTCCTTTTCACAAGGTTACAGCCATTGCAAACCCTATGGAGTACAGCTCTACTTTGAGATACATGGGGTTGCCATGAATCTGAATCCACTTGATGGCAATGGGTTTGTTTTCTGATTTATTGATCTTTGTAAAGTAAACACACATGCACACATACCAGTCACACACAAAAAACCTCTGAAAAACTCTCCATAACTCACCTGTCCAGAGTTCCTTTCATACTTTAGGACAAAGTGCTTATGAGTATTTCTTAAGAAGCCAGCATCCTGGCAGCAGCTTGCACAGATACTGAGAGGCAGGACCCTTGGCTTACGGCCCCAGCTTCTTAGCAGAGTAGGGACTGCAGCCCAAAGATTTATGATCTTAAGAAAGTTTATTAGTCTTTCTAGAGCTTCTTTTCCTCATCTGTAAAATATGATGTTTCATAGGATAACCCTAAAGGTCCCTGCCTTATTTCTTATTAAGACCTGACCTCAGACCAGCACTTTCCCAATGACAATCTGGAACCTTCCTTGGTTACACTGACAGTCCTTGGGCATGCACCTGTTAGTGGGTCCTATGATACCCCTTTTATCTTAGGAGAGAGACACAGGTAGGTCTTAGCAGGCAATAGGGTGTTGAGTTTTTCAAGCATCATCCTCAACATATTTCTACCTTCCTTTCCTTAAGACTGTGGATCTCAGATCCTACCTGTTCTAAAGGGGGTTTTATGTCTAAGAAGATAGTTATACCTGTTTGGTAGAGAAAAGCCCAAAGAAGAAAAACTATAAAAATAATCATATTCAAAGTGTAAAGGAAGAAGAAAAGAGAGAATAGTTGACTAAAAGATACCTGTTATTTAGGAAATTTCTCACAGCCAGGAAGTAACACTTTACTTCTCTTTAAACTCTTAGAGCCTAGCATAGTTCCTTGGTCAAAAACAAACAAACAAACAAAAACACACAAAAAACACCTCACTAAATATATTCCGAAAGAGTGAAAAAATAAAGAATGGATGATGGAATGAACCCAAAATTATCCAGCTAGAAGATGAGTAAGGAGTTGAGGTGGTAAGATCTTAGTAAACACACATGCACACATACTACACTCACACACACAAAACCTCTGAAAAACTTTCCATGACTCACCTGTCCAGAGTTCCTGAATTTAGATGCCATCGCACCTGCTACAGCCCGGTCCACGTTGGCACTGTCAAATACAATGAATGGAGCATGGCCACCAAGCTCCATAGAGACTCTTTTTACAGAGTCTGCAGCATAGTGCAAGAGGATCTGTAAGAGGAGGAGAGGATGCAGTGAGCTCTGAAATGAATGACCCAGGACTATCACACCTTTGCTCTGTCCCCAACAGTGAATAATAGCATGTTGTTGTTGTTGTGTGCCATCGAGTCGGACCCGACTCATAGTGACCCCTCCTTGGGTTGCTGAGGCAGTATCACTACGGAAGTAGATTGCCCAACCTTCCTTCCGAGGAGTGGCTGGTGGGTTTGAACTGCCAGCCTTCTGGTTAGCAGTCAAGTGCCTTAGGCACTATGCTACCAGAGCTCTTGAATAATAGCATATACAGTGTATAATAGCATATACAGAATAGCATTTTGTGTAACAAAAGGGGAAAAATAATATATATTCACATATGTTTAGTATTTGCATAGAGATACAGGTAATATAACAAAAACTTAAAAGTAATTATTTATAGAAGGTGAGGAAGAGGGATCCAGCAACAGGGGTGAGACTTCTCAATGTAAACCCACTGATACTGTTTTAATTTCTGAACCACATAAATGTATTAACATAGAGAGCTGCCATTGACTCTGACTCATAGCCACCTTGTCTATAACAGAATGAAATGTTGCCAGTCCTGTGTCATCCTGAGCTCACCAGCATGTGGTGTTCACCACTGTGGTTACTGCACCAATGCATGTCACCATGGATCTCCCTTCACCCTTTTTTGGATCTCTGCTTCATCAAACATTATATCCTCCTTCAGTGATGATCCTTCCTAATAGTGTGTCCCAAGCAAGTGAGTCGGACAATGATCTGTTGTGATCCACAGGTTTTCATTTGCTAATTGTCAGAAGGAGATTGCCAGTCTTTTTGTCCTAGTCTGTTTTAGTATGAAAGCACCACTGAAACCTGTCCAGCATAGGTGACCCTACTAGTATTTGAAATACCAGTTGCATAGCTTTCATAATAACATGAAAGCCACCACAGTATGACAAACTGACAGATGGGAGATGGATATAAGTGCATTAAACTCAACTCATTGCCATCGAGTCGGATCCGACTCATAGCAACCCCTCCTTGGGTTTCCGAGGCGGTATCACTACGGAAGTAGATTGCCCAACTTTCCTTCTGAGGAGTTTGAACCGCCAGTCTTCTGGTTAGCCATCAAATGCCTTAGGCACTACGCCATCAGAGATCCCATAAGTGCATTACCTATCTCCAAAAAATTATATCAGAGGCTTAAAAAGTCATAATATAGACATGAGATATTTGAAGTACATCCATCCAAAATTTGGCCATGTAGGTTCATATGTATGTACTTTTTTATTATATAAGAAGACTAGATTGTATACTTATACTTTTTTATAATCTGCATTATCTTCCCAAGTAACAGTATATCCACAATACCTTACATGTCCATAAGCTTTTATAACTTGCTTCTTTAATGTAACACTATAATGTGAAGATCTTCTTGTGCCTCACACATTCTTCTAAGGCACTCTTTATGTGTCCATACCATGTTGTAATCCATGACTCTTCCATAATTTATTTATCCAGCCCCTGTCTGTTGGATATGTAGGTTGTTTCCAATTCCTTACTATTAAAGACAACACTGCATTTATTCCCTCAGCATCAATTTGTAGAAGGAGAACTGATAGCTCAAAGCATAACTGTAAGGATTCTTAACACATATAATCATTTTCTCAGGGATTTTTAAATGTTTTATCACATGATTGTTGTTAGCTTCTGTTAAATTGGCTCCTGACACATAGTAACCTCACGCACAACAGCAAAAAAAGGTTGCCTGGTTCTATACCATCCCTATGAATTACTGTGGATAGGACTGTCATAATTCACAGGGTTTTCACTGGCTGATTTACAGAAGTAGATCACCAGGCCTTTCTTCCTAGTCTTAGTCTGGAAGGCTGAAACCCATTCAACATCATAGCAACACACAGCCTACAGTGATAGACGGGTGGTGGATGCACATGAGTTGCACTGGTTGCCAATTGAAGCTGGGTCTCCAGTATGGAAGGTGAGAATTCTACCTCTGAGCCATCATTTCCTTATTACAGGATAGTAGGGCTACCTCTGCTCCAGTATTTCCTTATTACAGAATCTCTCTCTCTCTCTCACTGCCGTCAAGTCGGATCCGACCCATAGCTACCCCTCCCTGGTTTTCTGAGGCAGTATCACTGCAGAAGTAGATTGATCCACCCTCTTTCTGAGGAGTGGCTGGTGGGTTTGAACTGCCAGGCTTCTGGTTAGCAGTGCCTTAGGCACTATGCCACCCAGTCAAAGCTTCAGGAATGAAAGAACAACCCGAGTTAGTTCAAGTGCAACACACGATTGACAAGTTCAAGGTCTTCCTAGGAATGGCTCCTCTACTGATGAGCACCCTGTGGTCATGGGTTTTGTGACAGGGCACGGGGTTAAAGTTCAGAATGAATTGTTGGAAAGCTGCTTCTGTGTTGGCATTTTTCTATATGCCCAGATGTTAATATTCTAGTAATAAACGGCTATAATAATCTTCTCATTGAAATGTTATTAGTCAACAAATAGAACAAGCTTTAAGATTAAAACAATACATTATGTTGGATTCAAGACAGCTATTTCCGTTTTGAATTGTTAAGAAATACTGTCTGCCAGGAAATCTATTTTTACTGAACTTGTTCCAATGTTAAAAAATATTCTCCCTGTTGGGTCACTCCATCACCTCCACCTGATCTGGCCTGTCTCAGGGTGTCTGTACCTCAGTGCACACCTGCTATGTGTCAACTAATGACAGAGTCCTTCCCTGCTCACAGTCTCTGCTTTCCCATGATGACACCTGAACCTGTCTCTGGTCTGCCATGGCTCCTGCTGTATGCAAGCAATCCTGTCACCTCCTGTTGAGTCCTCCCAGCTTCAGTTCTCACTGCTGACCTTCTCATGACCTCAGCTTCCAAAGCCCTGGACAGGAAACTTGATTGGCCGTGTTCATCACTCTATGTAGGGTGTGAGGTAAAGAATTACTAAGTACAAAGAATTTGGTCTTGGTCCCCAGTTCCTGGTGGTAATATCTAAATCCTTAGAATTTCCTGAGTGATTGAAGTGTCGTTGTTATCCAGGAAAGCTCCAGACCACACCTGAAAATTTATGCTAATGGGGTGATCCTTGGGTAGGGGCTGTCCTGGTCAAAAAGACCCACCATATAATATCAGCCTGACTTCTGGAGAAGAGGCTGGAAGTTGAGTTCAACCATGCAATGGAGCCTCAGTAGGAATTCAGGACACTGAAGTTTGGTGAGCTTCCTGGTTGTTGAAAGGCACTGATGCACATGGAGGAGTAGTGGGTCCCTTTTTGGTACATGGAAGCTCCATGTTGGGACCTATGCATCTCCTCATTTGTATCCTCTTTACTATAAGTTTAAGTATAGAATTTTTCTGAGCTCTGAGTGTCATTCTAGAGAATTATTGAACCCAAGGGAGTAGTGGAAGCCATCAGGTTAGAAGGGAGAGGGCTCCTAGGGAACCCCTGAATTCATAGCCAGCCAGTCAGAAATGAGGGTGTGGTGTCTCAACTTGCAGCTGGTGTCCTAAGTCTTGGGCAGACTTGTGTATGAGAGTCTAAAACCAGAGGCACTTGGTATGTGTAAATAGAGCAGTCTGAAAGTAGAGCCTTAAACCCATCTTAAAAGTCTTGACATAAGTCTAGAATCCATGTTGAATTTTAAAGTTGCCTTTTCTAATAGCAGGTCCTTTACCCTTAGTGGTAACCTAACCACATACCCTAAAGGAAACTTTCCTTTTCTCAGTGATCTGGCTGGTGCAGGATATCACAGTCTATTCCCAAGGGCCTTTTCTTTATGGTCTAACAGATACAAGATGTGATAACTTATGGTCAAAGGGTCTTGATGCATAGCATTACTAATAAATCTTTACAATAGATTGGACAATACCATTGATTGAGAAAGCAACTTTAATAGCCTCTTATACCCAAAAAATCTGTCCTGCGGCCATGACCATCATGTAATATACACTGAAGAGCATCTACACTTGTAATTATGTACACTTAAGCAATTATATAATCCCTGTATGTTATCCATCTTTCCCTGCTAAGTCCCACCTTTGACTCCACTGATTGTCTTTCAGACAATCATGATTTTATAACTTCAGTTCCTGCTTCAGTTCTACAAGAATGCTTGCTTATTCACTATTCATTAGAGAAGCCATCTTTATTGAGTAAAGTTAGAAGTCTTACTAGTCCAGATTGTCTCTGGACCATCAATAAATCTCTTAATTTTACTTTTACAGAGTGTGTGTTTTCACTCTAGGACACTTGGCTGTCTGGAGGACTGTGCCCTTTAACTTGCGAGATCTGACCTAGCTCTGGTGATTAAGATCAGAAGAAGAAGTACTGCATTTGCAGTTGATGTCAAAAAGGAGAGTTGCTAGAGTTGGTGTGAATTAGAGAAGACACACATTCTAATACACCAGGACACTTGTCGTAGGGCAGCGGCCAGCCTATGAATCTGTTTCCCTTGGATCAAATGATCACTTATGGTTCAATTCATTGTGCAGGAAAAGTGAAAACATTATGTGCAATAAAATGTGGCTGCTATTCCCTCAGCAGAGCCTGGGAGGGGTACTTTCCCCATATATGGAGGTAAGGGGATGTCTAGAATAGACTCACTGTAAGTGGTTTAGTTAAGAGACAAGAGTCTAGGCCAGAGTACCAGAAGCCCAGCTAGCACTTCTCTGTGAAGATCAACTCAGAGAAAGCTCTTGATATAGAGATTATTATTCCTTTGTTGTTGTTGCTGTTAGCTGCTGTGGAGTCTACTCCCAATTCATGATGACTCTTTGTACAACAGAATGAGGCATTGCCTGGTCCTATACCATCTTCACAATCACTGGTATGCTCTCATCTATTGAGGCCACTGTATAGTGCCATCCGACCTAGGGAAGTTATCAGCTAGCACTATATCTAGGAGCTCTGGTGGCATAGTGCCTAAGGCATTTGACTGCTAACCAGAAGGCTGGTGGTTCAAAGGAAGGTTGGCCAATCAACTTCCGTAGTGATACCGCCTCGGAAACTATATCTACTTGAATAATTTCTTTTAGAAGGATCAGCAGAAGGCTGGTCCCTATGAGGCGGAGGTTAAAGATGTCCCAGACGTCCAACTTTTACAAACTGCTGTGCCACTCCGTCATCTCTGACATCAACTCTTCCTCCTCCCCTCAGTAATCTCCTTCTTTTCTTAGGGTTCTGTATTTCACTGTAATGTCTTACAGAACTCACAGACTCCCAAGGAAACGGCTCATGTGGTTGTAGAGGAGGCTTGGAGGCTGGCAGCCAGGCAAGTCCCAAGTCCGTGGATAGGTCTGGAGGATTCTCCCCACTCTCGTGGGTGCAGGGGCTGGCAAACCCAAATTGGTGGTTCAGATGACTGACTGCTGTCTCAAGTCCAGGGGTGAGATGATGACAAACCAAATACAGGACCAGAGCAAGAGAGAGAACTTTTCCAGAGCATTTACATATATACCCTCAAGGAAGCTAAGGGTGGTGACTTGAGTCCCACCTTCCAGGAAGGTGGGACTCAAGATACATCCCACCCTAAACAGCATAGAGACTAGGATTTACAATACATCACAAAATGGAGGACAATGGTTAGAAGGGTCATATTAAGCAATTCACTGCACTGTTGTTGTTGTTGTTGTTATTTGCCATCCAGTCGACCCAACATAGCGACCCCTCCTTGGGTTTCCGAGGCAGTATCACTACGGAAGTAGGATTGCCCAACCTTCCTTCCGAGGAGTGGCACTGTAGTATCAGACAATACTCTATTGTGATCCACAGGGCTTTCATTGGCAAATTTTCAGTAGTAGTTCATCAGGTCTTTCTTCCCAGTCTATCTTAATCTGGAAGCTCCGTTGAGACCTGTCTACCATGGGTGACCCTGTTGGTATTTGAAATATTGGTGGCATAGCTTTCAGCATCAGAGCAACACACAAGTCATCACAGTAAGACAAAGTGACAGAAGGGAAGTGGATTATTCCATTAGCTATCCCTCTTCACTCTTCCCTTTAAGCCACCACAAATAAGTCATTTTTCTGAATAAAGAATTTAGGAGGAAAAGTTGGACTTGGCAGGAACATGGCCAGGCATTTTCTTAGAAGCCTGCCAAGTGACATTTTGCTGAGGAAAGTGAAGACACAGAGTAGGTTGCTGCCCTTTGCCCAGCATTATGGAATTTCTCTAGCTTGAACCACAGGGGTTTTACACCCCTTTCTCCCAGGCCTCTCTTTTATTCTCTGTCTGCTTCGTAGTAACATTTGGAACTCTCTGAAAATAAGCTTGTATTGTGAGAACCACTGATCTCAGGGACCTAGCAGTTTATGGATATAAAAGCCTCTGTTTCCGATATGAATGACTGGTAAGACTCCCTGAGTGTGATTTTATGGTATGACAAAGGGGATTATGGTCAGGAGGTATAACACTGCTAGATTCCTTCTTGCTTCTCATAGTATCTAAACCTTTTAGAGTAGATCTACACAGTGAAACCTGTAAAAGCCAGAACTTGTACAAGGCAGAAATGTGTCAGTGAGGGAAAACTCAAGTATTTTTCACCAACAGAGATCAACAGAAAAGTGGTAAGCCTGCACCCTGTCAAAGATGGAAAACTTGTGAGACCTGAAAAAACAAAGCAGCCCTGTCAAGTTCTGGCTTTCACAAAATTCACTGCCGTCAGGTCAGATCCAACTCATAGTGACCCTTCCTTGGGTTTCCGAAGTGGTATTACTACAGAAGTAGATTGCCCAACCTTCCTTCTGAGGAGTGGCTGGTGAGTTTGAACCTCTAGCCTTCTGGTTAATAGTCAAATGCCTTAGGTACTACACCACCAGAGCTCCCCTGGCTTTCAAGGGCTTCACTGTATTATTTTTCTATGATGTATACTTACATATTATGTATATATGTATTAGCAAAACAAGTATATCAACTAGAGAGAATCTCCATAAATAAAAACTTTTGTTCTACCCTGATCTTTTTCTCTTTTGAACATTTAAATGGATAGATTAAAAACCCATTCACAGGCTATACATGGAGTTCTGGGAAAACACCTCTTTAATTTTTAAGGAAAAAAGAAACAAAACTACACTTTTTTTAATTTCTAAAACATCTATTTAAACATAAGTTGGTGTTTCTGGAATCTCCAATTCTAAAAACATTGAATTACTAAAAAAAAAAAAACCAAGCATTTACAATCAAAGAAATGTGATGGCTAGCTTTTGCTCACTTCACATACAACAAATAACAGGGACCTCCCCCACCCTCAAATGTCTATGGTATTGTCAAATAAGAACCTAGGTTGTGCCACAATGAGGAATTACATTCAAAATGTCTCCAGAAGATGACCAGATGATACTTTATTTGACAGAGCTTTTAAACTCTGCTACCTAAAAATGAACAAGATGAAATAGCATTTTTATACTCTATAACAAAGAAATATTAGAATGACATTTCTTTTCTTTGAGACTTAAGTAACGTACCTTCCCAGTAGCTGTTGAGCCAGTAAAGGAAATTTTAGATACCAAAGGATCAGTACAAAGAGCCTCCCCTACTTCTTTGGCCTTCTTTTGAGAGCAGGGAACAACGTTGTACGTACCTGGAGGAATTCCAGCCTGGTGGGCAAGCTATAAAGACAAACAGCAAACATGGCAGCAAATGATCAAAGAGAAAACAAATAGAGGAGAAATAAATAGAACGTTTAATCCAAAAATAATGGAAAAAAACTTTAGGTTGACCGTGGAGGCAGAATAAGTATACCTATGGGATTAAAATAAGATTTTCATTATCGTTAAACTGACATCAATATTTATGAGTTGTTAAATTTAAAAAAAATAAAATAAAATGTCTTACAGGATGAGTCTCAATGACACTTTGGTTAAAAAAAAAAAATGTAAAGAAAAAAACAGAACCAAAAACTTGGGAGATACCAATTCACACCCACTAGGGGGCTTTAGTGGCATAGTGCCTAAGGCATTTGACTGCTAACCAGAAGGCTGGCTGTTCAAACCCACGAGCCACTCCTTGGAAGGAAGGTTGGGCAATCTACTTCCACAGTGATACCACCTCAGAAACCCAAGAAGAGGTCACTATGAATTGGATCTGACTTGACGGCAGTGAATTTGGTTTGGTTTGGAAGGTGGTTGTTATCAGAAAAACAGAAAGCAAGTGTTGGTGAGGATATTGAGAAACTGGAATTTTCTTCACCCATTGTGAGTAAGAATGTAAAAAGGTGCAGCTGCTGTGGAAAACAGTTTGGTGCTTCCTTAAAAAGAGAAACACAGAATTACCACATGATCCTACAGTTCTACTCCTAACTATATACCCAAAAGAATTGAGAGCAGGAACTCAGATATTTTTACACCATTGTTCATTGCAGCATTATTCATGAATCAGAATTAGGAAAAATTAGAAATAAGGTGAAGAAAGATAAGAAAGAATTATAAATGAAAGAAAAAATATTTCAGAAATGATGACTAAACTAGAAGGAACACAAGAATAAATAAACACAATAGATAACATCTTGGGAAAAACAGAAGATGAAAGAGAATAACTGGAAAGATTAAGCACGGAAAAGATGAAAAGGTATAAGAGACATCACAAAAAAGAGTCATAGGAGAACCTGAAGCAGTAAACCAAACTGAAGATAAAGAAAAAAATTCTGGAGAGTTTAATTTAAGAAAACTTTCCTGAAATTAACAAAAAAGATTTGAAATGACATAGCAAGCAAGCACATTGCATACCTAGAATACTGACCCAAAACAACCATCAAAAGACATATTCTAGTGAATTTACTGATCTTAAGAATATAGAAAAAGGACTTCCGGTTAAATGGAGGAAGAAACCGACAAGCTACACACACCCTCTTCAACAAAGAAAAGAGAAACCAAATGACAGAGATATAGGAGATAGTCCTGGAGCCCTGAGCTCTGAAAGGAAATATACAGAAGTGGATTAGGCATCAACTAGTGGAAAATTTTGAATGAAAACAGTGAGCACAGAGACAGTCAAAGCTACAGACTGTCAGGTACTCTGATGGGACAAACAGCCTGAATATTTCCAAGTGGTGTTGAGACCTGAGAATTGACCTAAAGATCAGCTTTGGTCACCAAGTGCTTCAGGGATGACTGCACTGGTGGCCAATGACTAGGAAGGGAAATAGCAAGGAGGGTTATTTGTGTCATTTCTAATTTGTAGATAACTTTTCATTTTTCCCACGCTGCTTTCAGGATTCTTTCTTTGTCTTTGGTTTTGGTGAGTTTGATGATGATATGTCTTGGTGATTTTCTTTTGGAGTCTATCCTGTTTGAGGTTCAGTGGAATTCTTGAGTGCATATATTCTCATCTTTCATCATACTAGGAAAATTCCCTTCCAACAAATCTTCAACAACTTTTTCTGTGGTTTTATTTGTCTCTTCCTGTTCTGGAATAACAGGAAGCTGTGGATTTCGACAGTCTGGAGGGTGCAGCCATTTTGATTGTTTACAAGTGGTGGCCATTTGGGATATTTAAAGTGACTGAGGGTGCAGCCATTTTGAATGTTTATAAGCTGTGGCCATTTTGGATTTCAAAGTGACAGCATTCTTATCCAGATTCCAGGGACCTAAGAATAGGCCCTATTTGCCAAGGACGGCAAGGACATATGGGAGGCTGACAATGGGAAAGGAAACAAGTGGTGACTGTGTAAGTGCTGCCAACTAGTGAATAGAGGAGCACAGCACAGTATCCTGCTTACGTAGATAACATACAACAAAACAAAACAAAAATTGCAGGCAAGCCACTCCAATATACAATCACCAATTGAATATAAACACAAAAATGTCTCTGAGACAACAAAGCATCACCGTCCACACAAAGAAGCATGACAAAGAAGGAGACACTAGGGAGCAGGATACAGATCCAAAATACATCCCTGAGGAAGATGCAGCATTAGAACTCCCTGATAAGGAATTCAAAAGAATTGTATTTAGGTACCATCCATGAATTGAGAGACAGATCAAGGAAAACATTGACAAAAATGAGGAAAACACAGAGAAGACCCCAGAACAATTTCAAAAGACAATACAAGAACAAAATGGCAAAATAAATGAAAAATTAGAAATGACACAAAATCTACAGACAGAAATCCAGAAGATTAAAACTAATTTTTCAGAAATAGATAACACATTGAATGGGCAAAAGAGCAGAACTGAATCAATAGAAAACAGAACTAGTGAGACTGAACACAAATACCTCAATACTTCTTTGGAAAGGGATTAATCAGAAACAAGATCAAAACAAAATGAAGAAAGCCTAAGGTTCATGTGGAATACCATCAAAACGAATAACCGATGTTATTCCAGAACAGGAAGAGACAAATAAAACCACAGAAAAAGTTGTTGAAGATTTGTTGGAAGGGAATTTTCCTAGTATGATGAAAGATGAGAATATATGCACTCAAGAATTCCACTGAACCTCAAACAGGATAGACTCCAAAAGAAAATCACCAAGACATATCATCATCAAACTCACCAAAACCAAAGACAAAGAAAGAATCCTGAAAGCAGCGTGGGAAAAATGAAAAGTTATCTACAAGGGGCAACCAATAAGACTCAGCTCATATTTCTCAGCAGAAACCATGCAGGCGAGAAGACAATGGGATGGTATATATAAAGCCCTGAAAGAAGAAAATTTCCAACCAAGCATTATACACCCAGCAGAAATGCCCCTCAAATATGATGGTGAAATTAGAACATTTCCAGATATGCTGAAATTAAGGGAATTTGTTAAAACCAGGCCAACCTTACAAGAGATGCTAAAGGGAATCCTTTGGACAGAGAACCAACAGCAGCAAACAGTAACTGACCATTAACACACATGATGACATAACTCAGAAACCAACCCAGTTATAGAAGTATCCAAAATAAATAAGCCTACAAGATTGTAAACAGGGAACCAGAGACATCAATTGACAAATGAGGACAACTACAAACCAAAAAGACAGAAAAACTTGTGCAGTTACAGAACTTCTAAATGGTAAGGAAGTCAAGACAACTGCAAGATAGGACTATTCTAAACTTGGGGAGAAAACGATAAATTACAGAGTAACCTCAAAGAAAAATGATAAACTTTCACATCAAAATAAAAAAGAGGACCAACACAAATATTTAGCAAATACTAAAACAACAGCAATAAAGGAAGTGATAACATGATTCACAAACAAAATAAGCTCAGCATAGAAAATTATACGGAACAAAGAAATCAACACCACGAAAAAAGCATGTAGTAAAATGACAACAACAAATTACAATAGCAAAAAGATGGAAACAACCTACATGCCCATCAACTGTAGAATGCGTAACCGAACTATGGTGCATACACACAATGGAATACTATGCAACACTGAAGAATAATGTAGAGTCAGCAAAACACTGCATAACATGGATGAACTTGGAGGACATTATGTTGAGTGAAATACGTCAATCACAGAAGGGCAAATATAGTATTAGTTCCTTGTTGTGGGTGGTCAAGGAAAGGTTTATATATGGAAGGAAATTTTCTTTGTTGGTTGCCAGGGGTGGGAGGGGAAGGGAAGGAACACTGGAAAAAAAAAAAAAAAAAAGAATGCACTGACCCATGTTGCTTTAGTTTTGTGTATTTCACTGCACATAAATTATATTTCTAAAATGCATTAAAAAAAAGAATATAGAAAAAGCATTTTGAGGCATTTTTGTAAAAAAGAACAACTAACTTTTACAGGCAAGAAATTTAGATTATCATCAGACTTTTTTTTTTTATTGTGATTTGGGTGAAATTTTACAGAGCAAATTCACTTTCCATACAGCAGTTCACATACACTTTATCTCATGAGATTGACTACAACTTACCCCAATGCAACAGCTCCCCTTCCACTTCCTCCCCATAGTTACCTCTTCCCTGTGTCCATCCCTTCATGCACTCCTTCCCCCTGAGCTGTCTCCCTGTATATAAGCAGCCCTTCTTTCTCCCATGATTGTTCTCTCCAAGGAGTGTATCTACCTCAGGTAAATGTTCAACTCATATGCCTGTATTTTGTTTGGCTGGAAGCCACAGGTATGGGTTCAATTCCAGACCTGAAGGGCAGCTAGGGGCCATAGCCTCAGGGGTTCCACCAGAATCTATTGGATCAGCAAGCCTGGCCCCTTTTTTTTTCTCCAAATGATTTTGAGTTTTGTTCTACATTGTTTTCCCTCTCTATCCAGGATCTCCTACATAGATCCCCTTCCAAGTGGTTGACAGTGGTAGCCAGGCACCATCTAGTTCTTCTGGTCTCAGAGTCATATAGGCTGCAGATCAGATGGTGTACCAGTTGCTGAGACTAATTGTTTCCATGAACTTTTGGTTTTCTTCATTCTTCTTTGCTCTGTACGAGGAGAGACCCATTGTTGCATCTAGATGGCTGCTTGCACGCTTTTAAGATCCCAGTCACTATTCGCCAAAGTAGGAGGTGGAACAATGTTTTGTGTAGTATGCTATGCCAATTGAGCTTGATGTCCCCTGTAACTATGGTTCTGAGCCCACAGGTGCAACTATTTGGTTCCTCTGGGTAGCTGACTGTGACCAAGAAGTGACTACAACCTTGCCCCTTGTCAGCTCTACTGTACACCTG